GAACCTGGGTGGTGGCAGGACGGGGATTGGGCGAAAATCATTATAAAACTGTGAACATCTCGATTTCGGGAGCGTGCGCTGGGGGTTATTCCAGAAAGCCTGGGGGCTCATTAAACCTTTGTATCCTTATCTTATCTCCTACCTAATTTGGCTTGGAGTCTTTTTTTCCTCACAGCCATTTAGGCAACAGTTTTGGTGACTCCGTACGGGGAAATTGAGACCTGTGACTCCTCTAGATCGTAATTTCATTTCGCAGGGATTTCTTCCCGGCCGGCCTATCTTGAAGAATTCCTGCTCTGATCTCGGGGGGCCCAGCTTCTCGGAACCGCACGTGGAGGAGGTAAGATAAAGAACAAAAACTCCTAGAGAATTTTAATTAGCAGCTGCAGGAAGGAGTTCTCCAGGGCTAGGGAATACGGAGAGGCTGGGAGGGAAGCTTGGACTTGGGCCCAAAGTCAGTGTTTTCCCAGTCTGTTGGCAAAGGGATTTTTGCCGGAGTGGGCAGGGGAACTGCCCGGGAAAGTTTAAGTTACGGCAGGCAGGAGGATTTCAGGTTTCTTGTTGGCCAGGCGTGGCCGGAGAGGGGGGGGATGCATCCCCGCTTGAAATTCTGTGTTTCTGCCTGAACCTGGTAGTGTCTGTGTACAAAGTCTGCAGTGTGTGTGTCTGTGGCTGTGACTTCTAAGTTAGACCTGTCGTTTTCCTTGTGTGCTGTTTGTTAACATGGGATGTACACAAGCTAAGGAGGAGATTCCAGAGGGAACCCCTCTTGCTTTGGTTTTACGGTATTGGGATGATTTAACTGGTCCTGAAACACCTTTAAAAAGGCAGGAGGTAGTTAGACTCTCTATGGATGTCTGGCCCTATACTGGGAAAATTAGAGGAATAGCCTGGCCGAAATTTGGCTCTTTTGAAGCAAATACAGTTTTTCATCTTATGACAATCCTTCATAAGGAAGAAATGTGGTTGCAGTTGCGTTATGCAGAATTATTCTACCTTTTCTTAACCCGTCCGAAGTTGAGAAAGGCATATAAAGAGGACAAAGTTAAAGTAGAAGTAGAACATACAGAAATGATATTAGAGGAGAAAAAGAGAAAGAAAATCGTGCTAAGCATGATCCCGAGGAGGAAAACAATCTTGAAAGCCCTAGAGATGAAGATCTGGACCTTTTAATTTCCCCAGATATGAGAATAGGTAGGCCCCCCCCTTTGACGCAGGCTGCGGGCGCGGCGGGCGTAGGTCCATCAGGGGTGGGGGTAGTCCCCGGGACGGGTCCTGCCAGCTTGGCGGGGCCAACTGGACCTGCGGTGCCGGGTCAAGTTGCTTCGGGGGCCTCGGGGGCAACGGCAGGACAAGCTGGGACCGCTCCAGGAGGAGCGGGGGTCCTAGGAACTGCTGTTAGTGCTCCGGGACCCGCTCCGGCCGTTCCGGTTGCAGCGGGAGCGGGAGGGGCGGGAGTGGCCTCTACCCCAGCTGCAACGGGGGCTCTGGCGCCGGACGGAGCGGCAGCGCCGGCCCTGGCGGGAGCCGCGACAACGGGGGTGGGAGGTTCGAATCTCAGCACTGCGGGAGGAGGAGCGGGGGCGGTGTCTACAGCCAGAGTCCCTGCCCCGGCTGACACGGGCTCCTCCAGCTCTGCCATGAGGGGCGGGGACGAACCCGCCCCCACCCCTTCGGCATCGCCCTACCCCACGGAGAAAAGGGGGGGCCAGGGTTTAGAGTTACAGCAACGGGGGAAGAGCAGAGGGAGGAGGAGCAGTTCAGTTCCTCCTATGGACAGGAGACAAAAATGGGGTCTTCAACCTTTTGACCCCTCGAGCACAAACGTTAAGACTCGGGATAGTGATTTTTCTGATACAGGCACAGAAGCTTCTGAGGATGAATCAAACGATAGATTGGGGAGGGGGGGAGAGAAACCACTTATAGTAAGACCAAAGACAGGGGGAAGAAGAGTACAAGAAGCTCTGTCAGACCCAAAACCGGTGGCTAGTAGGACAAGATCACAAAAGGAAAAGCCTACAGTAGAAGCTCCCTTAAGGCAAGCCCTGAGCAACCAGGGTCCAGTTTTGATAAAAACTCCTTTTTCTCTATATGAGTTACAGCAGTGGAAAGCTTCAGTTGGAACATATAGGGAAAACCCAGACAAAGTAACTAGGTTTATGAAAAGAGCAATAAGGACACAAAATCCTGATTGGGAAGATTTGGAAATAATGCTAGACACATTATTAGATTCTAGTGAAATAGACATGATTAAGAAAGCTGCCCGGGATGAAATAGAGAAGCTCATAACATCTGGGCAGATACAAGGACAACTGCAAGATGTGTTTCCCTCAGAGGATCCCAAATGGGATCCCAATTTACCAGAAAAAAGAGAGGCATTGAAACGCTATCAGGATTGGGTGATTTATGGTCTTAAATATGGAATTCCAAAAGCGGTAAATTGGTCAAAAATGTTTACAGTGAAACAAGATAAAAATGAATCCCCTGCGGATTTTCTAAACAGACTAACAGAGGCCGTACGAAAGTACACAGATATAGATATAGAATCACAGTCAGGGAAAAGCCACTTGGTCTATTTATTTATAGGCCAATCTGCAGACGATATAAGGAGAAAGCTACAGAAAGCGGGTGAGGATAAGAGTATTGGTGAATTAATGAATATAGCTTGGACAGTCTATCGAAACAGAGACCAAAAAGGCGGGGGGAAGGAGCAGGATAATGACTACCAGAATCATCGCAAACACAATGTCCACCGTGAAAATTATAAATCTAGTTACCAGCATGATAAGACTAATGATGTATGTTCTTTTTGTAAAAAGAAGGGACATTGGAGACGGGATTGTCCGGACTCGAAGAGGAAAAGTGAATTTCCACCTCCTCCTCCAGCCTCCCAACTGACTTTAAGCCAGAATGCATGAAGGGAACCGGAGGTTTCTACCCCAGCAGAACCTCTGGTTATAGCTAAGCTGGGGGGAGAAGATGTGGAATTTTTGGTTGATACAGGTGCTGCATATTCTGTGTTAAACACCTTGGAAGGGAAACTAAGTCAGGATACTGTAACTGTGGTTGGTGCCACAGGGGTAAGTGAAACCAG